CAGTCAACAAGCCTGCACGTGATGCCAGAAAGTCAAACGTGACTTTGTCTAATGGGCCAGAATTTCTTACAATTGACCTCCACTTTGGGCCATCTAACCCCCTTGGTTTGCATAGTTTGATTTTATTTTATTTTCTTTTCTTCTTAATTCTTTTAATTTGTTTTAATTATTATTAATTCACTAAATTAATTTTTTCCATAATAAAAAACAGAAAATCAAAATTGTAAATATATTTAATTATTTATTAATTTCATCACTAATTTATTTTTGTAAATAAATTCTAATAACTAATCTAGGTTAATTTAGGTTTAAAATTCAATCTTTTTCTTAATAAATAAAAATTACATAGAATTAGGTTTTGACACTTTTTATCTTTTTCTTAATTAATTATTATTATTATTATTAATTATTATTATCATTATTAATTACTATTATTTTTGTACATAAACATGTAAATTAATTAATTAGTTTAAATTAGTTAACTTGAACATTTTATTAATAATTAAAATAAACTTAGAACTAGGGTTTACTAACTTTTAAATTCTTTTCCTAAAAACATAAAAAACATTTTCTTTCCAATTAAATAATTAATTAGCATTAAAGTTTAATTTAATTTCAAGTAAAGGACCAAAAAAAACTCTCAATTGATACAAAAGGGTCAAAACCCTAAAAACGTCCCATTTAATTCCGTCGCGCGTTATTTTTATTTCTTTTGATTATTATGTAACTGCTTCCAAGGATGTAATAGTAATTAGGTTTATTGCTTTTTTACTTTCCGCATCTTTATCAAAAACGGGTCTTTGTATTTTGGCGATGTATAGACCCGCGCCTTGTAATAGCGTAGCTTTTACCTTTCCGTATTTTATTTTCCGCACTCCTAACTGCTAAATTGCATGAAAGAATGTATGTTAATTAAAAACAACTCGTAGCTCACGATTGCCTAATCAAAGATAAACATAAACTGAAAACAACACACAATGCACCTGCCACTTCTAGGATACGCCTCACTCGTTGCCTTCGAAAGTGGTCGTCAAGTATAGGGTGTTTTAGCGGTTGCCCTTATATCTAAGATCCAGTTGCCTCGAAACAGTTGCCTCGAAATGGTTGCCTCAGATTAAAAAGGATCTAGGACATTAGGGTTACTTCTAAAGTGTCCTAACTATTGCTTCGGTGACCACACTATCCCTAAAATCGAATTGACCCGAACACCTCCAACGGTGGTGCTACCTACCTCTCAATGGTGGGATGGCACTACCTTAAAGGACTTTTACACAGCCTAATTCCTTAGGGTAGGTAGATGACTCATGGGTACTTGCTCTCTTCAAAAACAAATCAAAAATCTTTTCACACTGACACTTTCAAAAGCTTTCAAAACAAATTTTTCAAACACTCTTGAGGACAGATACAAGAGTCATTCAGAAATCTTTCAATGAAACTTTTTTCAAACCCACTCACATTTGAAAAGCAAACATTTTGAAAACATAAGAGCAAGTACCTAAGAGCCCATGGATAACCATGGATAGAAAGGGTGCTAACACCTTCCCTTTCTATAAATCTACCTCCCGAACCGAGAGACATCTCGAATAAGGAATTTTGCTGTGCTTTTTTCCTTTCCATGTTGGATAACATAAAAGACGGTGGCGACTCTTGCTTACCGCGACATTTCGCGAACCAGCATTTCAAAACAGTCAGTTCTATTTCCACCGATCACACTCGCGTCGTTCATGATTGATACACGTCCGTCGCTGAGGTCGATGTTTGGTTGAGGTCTTCATGTTCCCCTTTTTTCGTACGAATGGTCGTTGACTCGGTCTGAGTGTTGCTTACTTCTCCCCGTCTTTGTGGCGAAAAAGCGGATTTGCTGTCGAATTCACCGGTTTCCTGTACTTTGCAAGTAAATGGACGATATTCCTGAGTCCTCGGGGCGTAACGATGTTGAGGAAACAAGCACTGCGGAGGAAACCATCAACCTGGTCGACACCGTCGATGACCCCACTCTGGATTGGGTTGGTGTTGAACCCCGAGGAATAGCTTTGATCTATAGCCTTTCCAGTAGATAAGCTTACACTGTCGTCGAGTATGGTGGCGGCCAAGAGGGATTTCGAAGAAACTTTAAGATTATGAGGCCGACGAGGGATGCCTGTATCTGCTCGGAGTTTACACATGATGCATTTCCCATGTACGAGATCATATTTAAAGATCTCGGGCTCCGGCTGCCCTTCAATGACTTCCAGGTGGGAGTGTTCAACCATCTGAACCTAGCCCCCTCCCAACTTCATCCTAATGCGATTGCCTTTCTCCGGGCATTCGAACTCACCTGCCGCTTCCTGAGAATTGGGGCGAAGATTCCCCTGTTCTTGAGGGTTTTTCACCTACAACGGCAGTCCCGAGGAGGGAAGCACATCTGGGTGTCCCTTAAGCAGTCGAAGAGACTGTTTAGGATGTATATGGATTATGTGCGAGATTTTAAGGATAAGTGGTATATCTTGCAACCGTCTACCCAGATAGCCGTAGATTCGTTGTTCGAACCGGCCGCTGTGGTGGACGAGGATGGGGAGCCGTGTTTGGATGCTAAGGGTAATCCCAAGATTGGGAAAGTCTCTAAGTTTCCTATTCACTAGTGTTCGGGCCATTACGACCATGGGCCTGGATACTACGACACTCCTGCTGGGGGTATGAGTGCTAAGGACGAGGAAGCTTATGGCGTCCTGAACAAGTTTGTCGATGGTTTCTTTCCTGCTCGGTGGGTTACGAGGGAAGGGGACGACGTTCTTGATGAGGATGGCTATCCGACGTTCGAGGCGCGCCCGATCAATACCAAGGCGCTCGTCGATTGCCAATCCTACGGACAAGCCGTAGACCTCTTAGGTTTCTTGCTTTTCTCTATTGACATTCCTTTTTATTTGTTTTCTTTAATGTATGTAGCTAACCCAAGTACACTTCCTTTGCAGGTCACTTGGCGGAGCGTCGCGAGAGATTGTTGAAGTTAACTCAAGACAAGAAAATAAGCAAGAGATTGGTGAGGCCGCAACAAGCCACGCGAATGGGCCCGACCCCTGACCCAGGCAGGGAAGGATCTAGTGGGTCCTCGGGTTCTCTGGACGCCGAGTGCCAATCTGCTTTGATCAGCAAGAAGCGGAGTCGACCGAATGATGGGGTCAAAGTGACCGATGGAGGGGCGGGCGCCCGGGCCTTCGGCCTGCCACCTTGCTTTGTGGAGAAGGATTTATTCGAGGGGTTTCCCTTGTCCGTGTCCAACAACGAGGCCGATATCATCAGGCGGCTCGACAAGGAAGGTCGGAGGAAACACCTCGTTGCCAGCATGGTCGGGGTGGTAAAAATGCCCGAGATGGTGGTTTTCCTTGCGGGAGAAGGGTCAGACTCCTTGGATTGGGTCAGAGAGCTGGAGTCGGAGAAGGCAGTTCTTGTGGCCAAGTCCCGCAAACTGAAGGCTGCCCTCGAACGCTCAGAGGAAATGTTTCGCGAGCAATCTGACGTGTTGTCGGGGGAGAAGGAAAGGGCCGACAGGGCTCTCGAGGAAAGAGACTGCCTCCAGCTTGATAAGGAGTGGTTGGAGAGTGACAACCAACGGCTGTCGAGAGAGGTCAATGACCTGAAGGCTGTTATGCTGCCCGCTGAGGACGATCCAGAAGGGATGGCCGACTTGCGTACGCGCTCTGACTTTATCGCTCGCGTTTAACTCCTAGAGTCGGATTGCGTTGGCGCTTTGGTCGATGGTTTTGAGGCTGTGGTGAGTCAGCTGTCCGTGCTAAATTCGGGTTTGAATACCGAAGGGGCTGGAGTTCTGTCCCAGATCGTCGATGGCCGGGTTGTTCCTCCCCCTGACTCTCCTGACGTCGATGTTGGCACTCCGGGGACTGATTTGTGCTTTGTTGGTGTTTGGGCCTGCGCGCCCGTTTATTGTTTTTGGGGCCTGCGTGCCCGTATTTGTTTTTGGGGCCTGCGTGCCTGTTATTATTCTCTTAGTTTTTTGGCCGTCGTGCCTGGACTGTAATTTTGGATATCGCCGGTCCTTGTGGTCGGTATATTATTGATCCTTGTTTATGATTGCCTGATGGATGCTTTGTTTGCAGTAATCTGATAGTATTTTATATATATGCTCGACTGTTATTAATCTGATGTGGGGAGGGTAGAGACGCGATCTTCTTGGGACCCTGAGGACTCCGCGAAATCCGGAGAGGTTGAAAGTCTGCCCTACGAGAAGGATACTCGGGCAGAGCTTGGATCGGGATGTTCCTCGCGGACATCGTCGGAGACGTATTCGCAGCCGACCAGTTACCCATGATCGGGGTGTGCTCGGAAGATCTACTGCTCAGCATGATATGTTGACAAGCTTGAATTGAGCCTCACTGGTGATTGGGCCACGAGCAAACCCAGTCCAGAACAGTAAGAATTATAGATATCGATTTATTATCTCTTTTAAAATTAATAAAATTTTTGATTGAATAATTTAATTTATTTTATTTAATTTTAATTATATTTTAAAAATAAATACGCATTCCACTTATTTTAATTTCAAAAAATTTCTTAAGAGACATGCCACGTACCGGTTTCTAAAAAGCCAGATGCCACGTTGGCTCTAAACAACACCACGAAACAAAGCGATCCGTACATCAGTAACCGGACACAACCGGTTTCCATTGCCACGCAAGCAAAGTTGGCCCACATTTGACAACTGGCAACACTTTTTTACGGATGAAAACCCAAGCCGAACGAGTTTGTGGGTGAGATTTCACATACAAGAAAAAAGACCCAAAAAATATAACAAATAAATCATAAAACAAACCCAAAAAATAAATAAGAAAAAGTGCAAGTTGGGTATTCGTACAATTACCCACTAAATTCACGACACTTGTCACAATCTAACGTAGTTTCCATCTTCAACCTTTAACGACCTCAAATTAAAATCGATAATAAAAAAACAAAAAAAACTGAGAAATTGTAGTGGCTGAGATTGGTTCTCTTTGTTGAACTGTTGGATGTGGATGCTTCTAGTTCGTGTTGAAGCTCTATGTATGTTGCTTCATCAAGTTCTCTCATTCTTCTACTACTACTACTACTATAACTGCAACTGTTTCTTCTCTTCCATTTTGATTCTTCCCCCGATCTATATATTCAGATTCGCTATTTCCGGTTTCCGGAAATGAATCGTCCGGCGACTTTCCGGTGAGTTCGTACGCTTCACATGCACGATCACACTTGCAGACTTCAACATGGATTTACTTCAAGGTAGTTATCGTTTCTCCTTTTTTAGGAAAGTAGATTAGTTTTCCGTTAAAATTTAATCGCGAAACGATTATTGAGAAATTTAATCAATTAATTTTCTGGATTTGAATAATCTCGTTCAGTTGAGTTGAACTTCGCTTCATTTGTGATTAATTTTCGTTAATTGATTTTCTGGATTGGAAGAAACTTGTTCTGTTGAGTTGAACTTCGCCTGATTTGTGATTAATTTTTCTGGATAATTGAATTTGTAGTGAAATTTGAAAATTATGTGATAATTTTTCTGGATAATTTAATAATTATATATAGTAACTCGAAGTATTTTCAAAGTGAAATTTGAACTTTGAACGTAGAAATTTGAAGTGACGTGATATACTAATTATAGTTGTTTTTGATTTTGGAAGGTTTTGGCGCTATGGAGTTTGTTTCGGTGAGGATCCTGATTAAAGAATTTTGTAGCATCTTCTCTCTATGTTGCGGTGGATTATAAAAAAAAATTGATTCTATTATTATTTTTTTCTTTCAGTAATTTGATTTGTGGATTATCTTGCTCGGGATGTTTGTAGTTTTTAATTGTTCATACCAATCAGAGACGGATCTCTACCTATTTTTCTTGCTTTCTGTTTATTTTGCAGTAATATTGGCTTTAGCTTACTTTCACCACAACGGCTTTACTATTTGCTGCGCTTCATGTCACAAAAAAAGAAAGGAGGTGTTCTTTTTACCCACTTTTTATCAGGGAAGATCTGAAGCAGCGTTATCTTCACACCTCCTGTGATGGATTTATACTCCTCAGGTGAAGAAGTGGTTGTTAAGGTCAGTTCTTTTTGGTTGATTGATAGATAGGAAAACTGAGTTCTTAGGGTTAATAAATTAAGTTTATTATCATCATCATCATCATCATCATCATCATCATCATCTAAGTAGATACTAATATTTGCAGACAAGAAAACCATATACAATAACAAAACAAAGAGAACGATGGACAGAAGATGAACATAATAGATTTCTAGAAGCCCTGAAGCTATATGGGCGAGCATGGCAGCGCATAGAAGGTAATATTTTGTCAGATATATTTTATGTTATTATTTTCTTCAAAAGCATAACTAATTTTGTATTTCCAAATATTCTAGATATTCAGACTCATAATATTGAGGTATCTTATTAGGAAATGGCACTAATTCATCTCTTTAATGGATCATATCTTAATTGATCTCTCTTTTCCCTCCCACACCTTGCCCCCTTTGCTGATGTTTTACTATTGTCAAGCAGAGCATATAGGAACAAAAACTGCTGTGCAAATCAGGAGTCATGCGCAAAAATTCTTTTCAAAGGTTGATTGGTACCCTCTCTCACCTGGGATTATATGCTGAAAGTGTTTGTTATTTCAATTGAGTTCATGCTTTCTTTGACCTGTTGTTGATTATTAATCAGTTTAGCATATTATTTGATTCACTTTACTCAACTTAGTTCCCATTTCAAAGGCATCAAGTAGTGCTGAGGTCTCAATTCTAAAAAGCGCTAAAAACATTAAAATAGTATATTGAAAAATCTAGATACCGAGTTTCCAAAAACAAAGATGTATTGAATAATGGATTGAGAAAATAAATTAATTTGTTGAGAATTGAAATCCGGAACCTTGAGCAATAAGAATGGAGAGACAGATTATGAAGATAGTGATAGATGTTCTTTAAATGAAAACTAAATTGCATCTTTGTAATTAATTGTGAAAACATATAAACTAAAAATGAAAAACAAACCAATCATACACCTAAACTAATAATCTTTTCATATTTATAGTTAAACAGAATTACATAATTTTAACATGGAAGCTTTTTTATATAGTAGGTGATGGAGAATGAGTGATGCTTGTGTACACTTGATAAGGTTGTACATAATCTTACAAGCTTCTTTTGCAGCTCTCAATGAACTTCACCATCATCTGGTGGAAGTTTCAAACTAGTAATCATTGAAATGCCACATGCTCCTGCAATAACAGTCATTTAAGGTTGTATTGAGTCACGGATGTAATCTACATGTCTTCTCTCTATATGTCCAAACCACTTAAGCCTATTTTCCACTATTTTTTCTACTATAGGTGCTACCCAAACACTTTCACTAATATTGTCATTTTTAATTTTATCTCGTTTAGTCTTACCACACATCCAACGTAACATCCTCATCTTTGTTACGCTTACTTTCTTCTTGTGTTACTTAACCACTCAACATTATGTCTCGTACAATATCGCGGATCTTATTGTTGCCTGATAAAAAATTTCTTTTAGCCTTAGCAGTACTTTTATGTCACATAAATTTTTTGAAGCCTTCCTCCATTTCAACCACTCCGCTTGAATTCAATGTTTTACACCTCCTTCTATTTCTCCACCATTTTGTATTACGAATCCAAAATATTTAAACCGTGTGACTTGTGGTACGATATGATCTCCAACTTTCACCTCTAAGTTAGGAACACTTTCTCTTTTGCTGAACTTACATTTCATATGATGCTCCTTCTTACTCTTGGTAAGTCTCCAACTTTTCATTTAAATTCTCCTTCGACTCTACAAGTAGAATTAGAACTATATCATCTACAAAAAGCATACATCTCGGTTCTAGCTCTTGGATGTGTTCCGTGAATACATCCAATAGGTTAACTGGTGATGTGCTTCTCGCTATAGGTTATCTTATCAACCACATTCCTTCCATAGTCAGGTTTCCTACTCTCTATTTTATACCTAGCATGATCTCTTCCTTGTTATACCAGAGTTTTTGGTTGCAAATGTTTTGTTCATGACTTCACTCTAGGTAAAGATAGGCTTTGTTAAATTTGTCAAATGTATTTTTTTGTGTTACTCATACCCCCAAAAGATCTATCGTTGTTTTTTTATCCTCAACATCAACTATGTATTGTCATTGTCTCTGCTGATGCCATTATATTTAGACCTCTCATTTCCTTTCTTCATTTGTTGTATTTGATGCCAATTCCATTATGGACATTCTTCCGAATATTCCACATCTTGATCTGCCTCCAATAGTTGCTTATACAAAGCACCTCCTTTGCTAACTTACCAACAATGAGATCAAATTCCAATGGAACTTTATTCAACTGATCCTCTAGCCTCATCTTCTGCTCCAACCACCCTCCCACCTACGCCGCATGCTCCCGAACTTTGTTATTGGATTTACATGTATTCATTCCTTTCTTTATTCAATTGGATTTACATGTATTCAACTGATCCTCTAGCCTCATCTTCTGCTCCAACCACTCTCCCACCGACGTCACATGCACCTGAACTTCTCATTGGATTTACATGTATTCATTTCTCTCGCAATCCTCATCCTTTCCAGGTTTGCTCTTGTATTTGTGATTGTTTATCCCTTTTCAGTCTCGAGATTAATGATTTGGATAGAAGCACGGTCCTTGATAGAACATTATGGTGAAAATTGATCCATGTAGCCGGCCCACCTAGTGGGATAAGGCTTAGTTGTTGTTGTTGTATCTCTTTCCCAATCATCTTTGTCTCTGCTTTAGACCGTGTTTATTCCTAAGCCTATAGGTGAAGCCATTACAGAACTCAAGTGAAGCTAGATGATGTTGGATTAAATGGAAGCATTACTCCAACAACATTTGGGAACTTGGTCTCTTACCTTTTGATAAGACTGCAATTGGTTTTATAGTGTGAAAGTTGGACTAGATAGTCACATTGATTTAGATCTTTGGTCTAAATTACAAGGACACCTTTTCCCATACGGACTAAATCACTTACGTGTCTCTTTTTTGTCATGGATGCTATGCATCATTGGCCTATTAACGAGCAAGATATTACAAAAAGCCCTATTGCAAAAATTGCATGAAGCAATTTGCATGATCCAGTCTCCAGGCTTTACAATTTTTGGTGATTCTCGCCTAGTCTCTCTTTCTGTAGATTGAAGCAATCTCTCGTGCTTGATTTGGATGTTTAATATTTGCCTTAATACAATTTGGCATTTACATGCGTGAACTGGATCACTCTTTCTTCTCCATTCATTCTCCGTTTGTTTGATGGATTTATTTTGTTGTCTATGATGATGGCATCGTCATTAATGGTGATGAAGCGGATGATATATGGTAGTTGTAATGCTAAATCTCTTCAAATAGTTTCAGACTACAGACTAAGGATCTCTCAAATACTTCGTATGGATTGAAACTCTGCAATCCTTTTCTGGAAACTGACAAAAGTATGCTCAAGCTTTGTCATCCCACTAATATTCGTATTGTATGAAGCTTAATGTCAAGCTTCTTCTGGGTCAGAGAGAGTCGTTTAAACAATCGGGAAATATATTGGCATCTTGTGGCTAGATTCAACTATTTCACTTTCATCAGACTTATTATTACCTTTTAGCTAGTTTCTAAGTGCTTCTTGGGATGCCTCCAAAACAACGATGATATGAAGATAAAGGTGTTGGATTTCTGTCTTCAATGCGGTCCGTCCATATTCGCATAATTGTGGCATTTGGCTTGCCTTCACTACAACCTCTAACACCTACATTGTGTTGCGTTTTAAGGGGTGAATTAAGTCTCACATTGCTTAGAGATATAACTTGTGTAGTGTTTATAAAGCTTGGGCAGTCCTCACCTTATAAGTCTGTTTTCTAAGGTTGAGTTAGGTCTACCCACACATTCTTAAGATGGTATCAGAGTCTATCTTGGATCACTTGTTGGGCTTCCCGCATCATCCACGCTTCGGGCTCATTGAGGCCTGAGTGTGAGGGGGTGTATTGGAATTTTTGCCTTCATTGCGGTCTGCTCCTAGTCGTCTAGTTGCGGCATTTGGCTTGCCATCATAGCTACCTCCAACACCTACATTATGTTGGGTTGAACAGATGCATTAAGTCCCACATTACTTAGGGATATGACCTGTGTAGTGTTTATAAAGCTTGGGTAGCTCTCATCTTACAAGTCAGTTTTGTAGGGTTTAGCTAGGCCTACCCACACATTCTTAAGAAAAGGCAATGGCAGGGTAACATGTTTCTCGGTTACCTACTAGGTATGATCACCATCAAATACGAGATTGCTGATAAAATAAGGCTTATTCATTTTTACAGCCTTTACTAAACCCTTAGTAGCGCTGAAAAATACTGTACATAACCTGCATAACCTGCAGTTAGCCAAATGTGTTTGAACTTTTCAACTTAGGTGAAGAAAAACGTGAGAGATATACAAGTATTAGGCCTTCATATGATTTACATTTTTGGATGCACCTATCATTTTTGTATTAGGTTTAAGTCCATATCTTTTATGAATCGAGTGATCACGCTCAACCCTTTTTATTGGTGCCTATATTCACAAGATGAGGGGGTTCAATGCTTTAATGGAATCCACAAATGAGTGAAGAAATACATAAACAATTTATTTTATAGAAGAAAAAAGTGATGCAGCATAAACAAACAATTGATTTTCTAGAAGAAAAAAATGATACAAGAGAAGGGGGACTGATTTGGCCAAGTAGTCAATTTGATTGCTTGGTCAAGTCAGTTCCCCTTTTTTTTGTTCAACTTCACTAGAATTTGTACAAATTTTCATATCTAAGTTGGGTTCATTAGCTGAAGCAATGACAATTGGGTGAAGTACACATGATTTGGAGAACTGATACTTTTGTAAAAAACATTGATTGTGGAGAGATTTTTAGAAGTGTTACTGAGCTTAATGAGATTTTTTTTCTTATTCTTAAATTTGAGAAAATAATTGAAGATTAATAACTCACTGCAAAGAGAAACATATTGAAATGCTTTTCATCTAATTCTTCTGTTTGCAACAATGGTCGAAAAACTTAATCAGATAATAAACTAAAATTTATTCCAGACATTGCTTTTGGGGTATAATGGCTAACCTGGTAGTGATGGCGATCCACCACTGAGAGAAGAGTGTTCAGCTCTAAATAAATACCATTAGGTATAATGTTAACTAGTATTCGTAAGGGAAAGGTCCAATTCACCCTCCCCAACTCTGTGTCATGTGTGGTTTTGAAACTTCAAAATTGTGAAATAAATTCCCCTTCCCTTCTTGAGGGGTCCACTTAAGAAGGAAAGACAACGATTTCTTTTTTTGAGCAACCTGAACCAAATCATATCATCTGGTATCAGAGTTCGTTCAGGAATATGGAAATCAATAACTGGCAAGTTCAAGAATGGAATCAAGATTGGAGACTTTGGAACAATCAGTGGCGAATGGGATCCAACTCCAGGATTGATTCAAAGCAAGATAAGAGGCACAAATAACTTAAGTGGCAAACGACAAGTGTCGTGTGTGTGTGTGAGAAGGAAAATATATGTTCTGGTGGATTGGAAATTAGTGAGGACTAGTATTGAGGGGAGAGTCTTGGATCTCTTGAATATCCCCGGGGAATGTGTGTTTTCTGTTCTTCATTGAATAATAATTTATTTCTTCTAAATCATATTTGAATAAAAAAACCATAAGAGTATCTTTATTCAAAATGCCCCGTGGTCTTCAACCAATTTTGTGCTTCAATATAATTACTAGGCGTAAAGGTTATAGATTGTTTCCAATATTCAGCAGCTTGATCAAACCAAGATTCCACAATTTTCATATCTCCATGTTGAGTGGCCTGTTCTCCGCAGTCGCAATAGGTGAGTACATTCTTTTGACTATCAATTGGATGTCAATGGTAGTCGTTGGTGGTTCGGAAAGTGCTGCCAACAGAAAATATGACTGGAAAGGCGGAGTAAAGCTTTGTAGAGTGCAGCTGCCAGGACGTCTGCGATTAGGGATGATGCTACGATAGGACTTCGGTGTTATGGAGTGCCTGAGCCCCACATCCAGTAGCATGGAATTCCCAGTCTTCAGTTGCACCTAGGTTCTATAAACAATCTAAAGTAGTGGATTCAGATGGTGTTGGGGTGGAAGACATAATCACGTGCTTTGGGCATGATTAGGCCCCGAAAGTGCCACTGTGAATTCAAACTTCAAAGTGCTACTTTCTATACGTAGTTCGATGGAAAATCCAAAAGGACGGACTCAATTGCATATCTTAGAAACCCATATGGCCATATGTGACGTTTCAGGGTCGTCTACGTGATCCCGAGTTTGAAGGGCCAACTGAACTATTTTGATTTATAACTTTCTTATTATGCGCTGTTTGAGAAACAACCAACCTCTTTTACCAACCCCATCACACCTCATCTGTATATTTATATAAAAAAATAAGTTATTCCTTATGTGATAATATAAGTCCAAATAAGTTATTCCTAATGTCATCTGTGTGTTGGGAAAAAAATTTGGATTGAAGAATTGTTATGCTTGGTTTGATAATTTGATTTTAAAAGCAGAGGATCATATAAAGGATTAAATATACACCTGATATGGATGTCCATCACGGGCCTCTGTTTCTTGCTCTAATAATACTCCCTTAATTTCATCACCTCCTTCTATTATAAGGATTTTTAGATCTAAATGGAATATACAAGCTATATACTCCCTTAATTTTGTGTTTAGTTCTTCTTTTAGCATATACATACTCAGAATTGCCAGTAATGTCCAATATGTTTGTTCTGAACCCATGATTTTTTCCAGTTATTAACAAAGTTTATTTTGGTTCTTTAGAGCACCAACCACCAGAAAAAGAATATTTTTCCTAATTGGAGGATTAGTTTCGTAGAAAAAGTGAAAGTTATTTTTTAAAAAAGGTTTAGTTTATCAAAATTTCTTGTGTTGGATTCCCATCAAAATCTCGATCATGTTTCATGTTTATGTGCAAGTAGTCAACAGTGGTGGTTTCTGCAGATCATAATATATAATCATATGATTCAGATAGACTACATTTGGCACTGTGTTTCAATTAGTGGAAACTGTTAATTGACCTGTCTTGTTCCATATAATATAACTGCTTAATTGCACTTTCCGGCTTGGATAACTTGAAACCAATAGCTCCCTACATCAATAGAGTCTATAATGAACCAATAAAATGTATCTCTTCCATTAAACTACAATCAATTTCCAGCTCACAAACTCCTTATGCATAATGCTTGACTATACCTACAGATTATTTATTTTTGTAATTTGATGGTAAATTTTTTGTACATTTTCTTAAATGTCTTGGAAGATAGTACTTCCTCCGTTTTTTTATCATGTCATTTTACAATTTTCACGTGTATTAAGAAATCTAATTAATTTTGTATCAGAAATGGAAATTATGAATTATTTTACAAATTTATCCTTTTGAAACGATTTATAATTTGGTACAATTTTTTCCTCCAATTGAGCGAGTACTTGATTAAAACCAATGTATGTAGTTGATTCTATTTTACATTTGAAATCATTTGAATTCATTAGTATTGTAAATCAACTTATAGCTTGGTACATTTTTTTCTCCTTAAGTGTCGAAGAATTGAAAACAGAGGGAGTACTTGATTAAAAACTATGTACGTAGTTGATTCTGTTTTACACTTGAGATCATTGGAATGTTAGTGTTAGAGCTATTACATAAGGCTAGATGTTATTTTGAGAATCAATGCTCAGCTGCTCAAATTAGTGTTTTTCAAATAAATTTTGTAGAACTTCACTTGCTAAGTATACTCTTACAACGTTTACTTTCAGTTGGAGAAGGAAGCTATTGTAAAAGGTTCTGCATTAGGACAAGCTTTTGACTTAGACATACCGCCTCCCCGGCCCAAAAGAAAACCAAGCAATCCTTATCCTCGCAAGACCAATGTTGGCACCCCAACATCACATAGTGGAGCAAAGTATGGAAAACCACTTATTGCAGTTGCATCTTCACATGGTAAACAAGCAATGGATTTTGAGAGAGAATCACTTCCAGAGGTTAATATTATTATTTTGTATTTCACTTATCATACAAATTTCTTGTGTTTTTTTTCAATGAAGCATTCTGCTTGTTACTTATTTTTTAGAAGCATCAAGATGAAGAAAGGCCAATAACTGTGAAACAAAATAATGATGAAAATTGCTCAAAAGTATTTACAATCCTCAAGGAGGCACCCTGTTCATCTGTATCTTCAGCAATCAAGAGTTCAGTCTCAATGTCAGTCCCACAAATAAATTGCTGCGTCTTAAGGGAGTTTACACCTTCAGTGAAAAATGTAATGACTCAAAATGAAACAAATGAATCTTTTCCTACTACAGAGATTGAAAATCAGATGCTGGAGTCAGATGATGGAAAATGCACACAAAAAACTGATGGCACTTGTAAAACCTCTAAATTGGAGAGTTCTACTCCTAAACCGGTTCAAGCTCAGAAATCAGATGATCTTACTTCTGCATTAACAACAGATGAGATGCAAAGTAATCACAATTACCCAAGACATATCACTGTGCATGTTGTTGATGGGAACCTTGGAACTAGTACTCAAACTCCATCACAAGATATATTGGTTCAAGACTTCACATTTCAGCCAATAGGGGGAGTTAATGGGAAACCTAATCTTTTCACAAATTCAGCTGCATCAAACAAAAGTGATAGTCAAAATAACATGGCACAGTCATCTATTCATCAATCATTTCCTCCTTGTCCTCCCTTTTCACAACTTAATCATGATGATTACCAATCCTTTCTCAACATGTCTTCTACATTTTCAAGTCTTATTGTCTCTACCTTGCTGCAACACCCTGCAGCCCATGCTGCAGCAAGTTTTGCTGCTACATTTTGGCCCTATGCAAATGTAGAATCTTCAGCTGATTCTCCAGCTTGTTCTCAAGGAGGTTTTCCATCTAGACAAATTGGCTCACCTCCTAGTGTAGCAGCTATTGCTGCTGCTACGGTAGCTGCTGCAACTGCATGGTGGACAGCTCACGGACTGCTTCCTTTGTGCGCTCCACTCCCTACAACTTTTGCCTGTCCTCCTGCATCAGCAACTGTTGTTCCATCAATGAATATCAGCGAAGTTCCACCTAAGACAGAACAAGGAGATATTACACTACAAAATCCTCCTCTGCAAGATCATAAACTAGATCCAGAAGACTCAGAAGCTTTGCAAGCTCAACATTCAGCTTCTAAGTCACCAGCTGTTTCTTCATCTGAATCAGAGGAGAGTGGAGATGCTAAGTTAAATACTTCATCAAAGGCCATTATTAATCTTGATATAAACCAACCAATTTCTGAGAACCTTAATTCGAACCAAACGGAGGGCAGGAAACTGGTAGACCTGTCTTCTTGTGGTTCCAACACAACCTCTGGCAGTGAAGAGACTGATGCGCTAGAGAAGGATGGGAAAGAAAAGGAAGACCCCAAAACACCTGATGCAGACCATTTAGCTATTGATCCTAGTAGTCGCCGATATAGAAGCATTAGCAACATTCTTGATTCTTGGAAGGAGGTGTCTGAAGAGGTATCACAGTACATTTTATAATAAAAAAATGTAATTAATGTAGTGTATGCATTTATTGCTTCTGTCCTTATGCCAGTGTTATTTACAGGGACGACTTGCCTTTCGGGCTCTATTCTCCAGAGAGGTGTTGCCCCAAAGCTTTTCACCTCCTCCTGATTTGATAAATAAAGATCATCAGATAGACAACATTAAGGATAATGTGCAAAACACACACAATCAAGATCACCTTGACAGCAAGAAATGCAGTTCTAGTTGTGACCGGTTGCAGCAAAACCTACCATTTGTACAAAATAACAGTGAGGAGGAGGGACTGCTAACCTTAGGTCTTGGACAAGGTAAACTTAAGACTCGTCGAACAGGGTTTAAACCTTACAAAAGATGTTTAGTAGAAGCGAAGGAAAGCAGAATTGGAACGGCCTGTAATCAAGTTGAAGAGACAGGTCCCAAGAGGATACGCCTGGAACAGGGGAGTTCTACTTGATGCTTGATATATGCATACAATCCGAGTTTTGCGCATTATTTCTAACTCCCCCTTGCTCGGTTGTCTGTATTGTTTATTTTCTAATTCTGCAGCTCACAAAACTTGTCGTGTAGGTGTGTACCATATTAAATTACTATACTACCTACGTTGTTTTACTTTCTTGGACTGATGTTGCTGCAGTTAAAAATTCCGCTAAAATGGCATTAGAGAAGAAACATTAAGTACTGTTTGAGCATTGAAAATTTAAGTAATTAATGATAATCCTTCATTCTATCACTTTCTGCGTTTTACTTATAGTTGTCACATTTATGAACTATTCTTTTTTCCATTACAAACACTACCCTGATGGAAACAAAAAAAATCAGTGAGATTTTCTTTTCCCAACTCTACCTTCTCAAAAATCCAACCTTGGTGAAAATTTAAAAATGTCAATAATTTGTAGATGCATCTTCGGAAAAAGTGTTTGTGGTACGGTTTGAGCGGTTTTGACGTTAAAAATCATCTAAACCGTAAGAGAAAAAGTATGGTTCGGTTTGGTTCTGTTAACTTTTAGAAATAAAACCAAATCAAACTAATGTGGTTTGGAATGGTTCGGTCTTTTACAATTTTATTGAGTCATACATATACATATAGAGGACAACATAATTTTGTATTTAGTCCGTCGTCAATTATTAAAAGATGACAAAACTCATCATATTTTGGCAACAACTTTCTGTTTAATATACAAAAATCAAGATTAAACAAAAGTGGAATAAAAAATATAAAATAATAGTTTAAGACATATTTATTGAATTAGGAGAGACTAAGAGACATTTAGGTTAAACCGTGTGTCATGAAAGCACTACGGAGACTTTATTATATATAGAGAGATTACAACTAATTACACTATATAATCGATGTGAGACTATTCTACATACAAATATTCTTAACATTATATATTTACAAATATCAACACTCCCCCTCAAGCTGGAGCATATAAGTCAAATGCACCAAGCTTGTCACATATATAATTAGTTCTGGGGCTTCGCAGAGATTTTATGAACACATCTGCCAATTGATCATTAGAGTTGACAAAGCTTGTGACGATGTCTCCAGATTCGATCTTCTCTCTAACAAAGTGACAGTTTATCTCAATATGTTTGGTCCTCTCATGGAAGACTAGATTTGAAGCAATGTGCAATGCAGCTTGATTATCATATACAAGTGTCATTGGTCTTGCTTCTTCAATTTTAAGTTCTATGAGCAACTGTTTTAACCAAATGAGTTCACATGTTGCTATTGCCATGACCCTATACTCTGCCTCGACGCTTGATCTTGCAACTATATTTTGTTTCTTACTTTTCCAAGATATAAGATTTCTTCTAACAAGTACACAATACCCAGAGGTGGATCGTCTATCAATTGGTGACCCTGTCCAATCAGCATCAGAGTATTCAACTATTTGAGTATGTCCTTTATCTTCATACACTAAACCTTTTCCTGGAGCACATTTGATGTATCTTAGAATTCGGATAACAGCATCCATGTGTTCCTGACAAGGGGAATTTAAGAACTGGCTTACCACACTGACTGCAAAAGAAATGTCTGGACGAGTGACTGTGAGATAATTCAACTTTCCAACCAATCTCCTATATCTTCCCGAGTCTGATAGAGGCTCCCCCTGATTGGGTAGTAGTTTGACACTTGGATCCATAAGAGTATCAACTGGTTTAGCGTTCAACAAACCCGTTTCTTCCAAAATATCCATAGCATATTTCCACTGAAAAATCACCAAACCATCTTTAGATTGGGCTACCTCAATACCCAAGAAATAACGGAGTTTACCAAGATCTTTTGTCTGAAATTGATTTGAAAGATGTTGTTTCAACTGGAGTATTCCCGACTCATCACTACCAATTATGACAATATCATCTACATACATAATAAGATAAATACACCCTTGTACTGAGTGACGATAAAAGACAGAATGGTCAGCTTCACTACGGACCATACTAAATTGTTGTACTACAGTTCTGAATCTGCTAAACCAAGCTCTCGGAGATTGCTTAAGACCGTAAAGAGACTTGTGTAGCCTATAAACCATATTCGATGACTTCCCCTAAGCAACAAACCCAGGTGGTTGCTCCATATATACTTCCTCTTCAAGATCACCATGTAAAAATGCATTTTTGATGTCAAGTTGATGAAGAGGCCAATGGCGAATGGCTGCAATGGCTAGAAGAAGTCTAACAGATGCCATCTTGGCTACAGGCGAGAAGGTATCACTATAATCTAACCCAAAAATATGAGTGTATCCCTTGGCTACCAAGCGAGCTTTAAAACGATCGATCTTACCATTTGGACCAACCTTCACTGTATAAAGCCAACGATAACCTACTAAAGATTTTCCATTGGATAGAGGAACCAACTCCCAGGTACCACTGCTTTGAAGAGCACACATTTCATCAATCATTGCTTGCCTCCACTCAGGGTGAGATAATGCTTCACCTGGAGATTTAGGAATAGAAACAGAAGACAAAGAGGATAAACAAGTATACTGCAAAGGGGAAAGACGATGATAACATAAATCAATATAATGTGGAGAAGGATTTCGTGTTTGACGTATACCTTTGCGAAGGGAAATCAGAAGATCAGACTCAGGTTGCAGGATCGAATTCGATGATGGCGATAACGTCGAAGGAGAGTCTGTAATGACCTCAGGGACAGGTACGACCTCAGGGACATGTACAACCTCAGGGACAGGTATGACAGACGTTGGTTTACGATGCTGATATGTTTGAAGTGGACGAGAAGTGGGGGGGGGGGGGAGGGTCAACCATAGGGGTTTCTCGTGGGATAGGTTCCCTAGAATGATAAGGAATAATGGGAAATGGGACGTCCGGAAGAGGTGTGGGAGTACTTTCCTGAAGGGGTTCCGAAGTGACTTGGGTGGACACAAAATATGGCACAGACTCGAAGAAGGTAACATTGGCCGATATCAGGTATCGTTGCAGTGTGTGAGTAGCAATAATAACCCCTTTTGGATCGATGATAACCAAGAAAGACACACTTTAGTGATCGAGCTGATAGTTTATCAAGACCAGGAGAGAGATTATTCACAAAACATGTAGACCTGAAGACTCGAGGAGGAATTGGATGAAGAGGAGAGTTTGGAAACAAGATTGAATGATGGATTTTATTATTAAGGACAGATGAGGGCATGCGATTTATGAGATAACACGCTGTGAGCATAACATCCCCCCAAAATCTGAGAGGGACATTACCATGGAGAAGTAGAGTTCGAGTGATTTCTACGAATGCTGGTTTTTGCGTTCAACTATCCCGTTTTGTTGAGGTGTGTGAGGACAAGATGTTTGGTGTAGAATACCATTGGATGACATAAAAGTTTGAAATTTTTGGGATAAATATTCACGAGCATTGTCACTTCTTAAGGTACGAATGGACAAACCAAATTGGGTTCTTATTTCTCGATAAAATTGTTCAAAAATAGGAAATAATTCAGATATGTTTTTCATTAAAAATAGCCACGTGCAACGTGAAAAATCATCAATAAATGTTACAAAATACCTAGACTCAAAAGTAGACACAGTACGCGATGGACCCCAAACATCGGAGTGAACTAAAGCAAAAGGAGACACAGCCAGTTTATTGACTCGATCAGGAAAGTGACTACGAGTATGTTTCCCTAATTGACAAGACTCGCACTGTAAAGTGGATAATTTAGATAAACTGGGCATCGACTTTTGTAGCTTGGAAAGACTTGGATGACCTAATTGCGCATGTATAATGAGTGGAGAATCTGTGGTGGAGCATGTGGTAGATGACATAGAGAAGTAGTAGAGGCCTTGAGACTCACATCCAACGCCAATCGTCTGTCCCGAACTTCGATCCTGCAGAATAACATCACTGTTAGTAAAAGTGATAGAACAATTAAGGGAACGAGTTAAACGACTGTCTGACAGTAGATTAAATGGGCAATTAGGTACATATAGGACATAAGTAACAAAGAGAGATGGTAGAATTTGAACAACACCGATCCCTTGGGATCGGGTTTGAGAATCGTTTGCGGCAGTTATACTCGGTAAGAAACCAGAGGTAGAAAGAGAATAGAAAAGATTTTTATTACCGGTAACATGATCAGACGCATCAGAGTCGAGGACCCAAGGACCAAGAGGAGATGATTGAGAGACGCAAACAGATGAATTACCAGTGTGTGAAAACGAAGCCGTGGAACCAGAGGTCTGGTTAGTCTGACACCACCTGAGAAAATCCTCGTAGTTTGGCGTAGGGTTCTGAAGAGAAGGTGAAGTCTGCATAGTGTACGACTTTTCGAGAGTACGACTTTCTGTGAGTCGAAAACGAAAACCGAGGGCGGATCTGGAACCGGAGGAGGAAGGCGATTTTCCGAAAGAAAAATATTTTTTTCGTGAACAGTAGCGACGACAGGGAACAGTAGTCCTCCAATTTTTTTTTTGTGGACTGTGCTTTGCAGAGGTCACTGGAAAAAAAAAGGTGAGGCAAACCGGAATGATGACACGGTTTGCAGAAGAAAATTTCTTACCGGAAGACAGTGGGTCAACCGGGTAAAGCACGACGAAGAATTGCCTCTTAGAAGGCTCTAGATACCATATTGAATTAGGAGAGACTAAGAGACATTTAGGTTAAATTGTGTCATGAAAGAACTACGGAGACTTTATTATATATAGAGAGATTACAACTAATTACACTATATAATCGATGTGGGACTATTCTACATACAAATATTCTTAACATTATATATTTACAAATATCAACAATATCAAAAATATTATAATGGAACAAAAAAATAGAGGAGGTGAGAGATTAGAAAAGATGAAAAAGAAATAATATAAAAGATGAGAGATTAGAGAAGAAGAGAGGTGCGATAAAAATATAATCTTAATGCTAAGGTATAATAGGTTCGGGTTGGACGTAGGTTAAATTAAGTAGAGGAATTAGCATCTCAACCCCTGTTATACATG